ATCGCATATGTACAAAGTTTGGGACACCTATATGAACATAAAACTGAATACCATTGTCAGCTATACTGACCTGTTTAGCTTGTTGTCTTTGGTTCACACTGACTTCATCTGGAGACAGTCCCTGCCATTCTGCCGCTATCATTTTAAACACGTCACCACCACTATTGAGCACTCTTACAAGTTTCTTATCTTTGCATAGATGTGCTATTATACGTAACTCTAACTGTGAATAGTCAGCTGCTAACATGACACCACCTTTAATATGAAAGATGTCAAGAACATACTATGGGTGTTACCTCATGATTGAAGTGGTCATAAGACAATTCTTGCAACACACATATAGCAATACACATATACATTCATGAGTGTACAAATTTTCCTAGATATGAATTTTATGGAAATTGAGCAGTTTACAGCAATACTGTTACTTTCTCTATTAGTAGCACATTTGCTTACACTAATGACGGAGGCGTGTCTGTGGTCAAAATGAGTCATGTTGATATGATGTGACATACAATAAATACATTTTATGGTTCCCATGCGCTTCTATTAGAGATGCATAGAACATGTATGACACATGAGAAATATCCCATATCCTCACTGTGTTTATCAAATACATCCATATTGTTTGTATCCTGGCAACCGTGACAATGGCTTGAATCACAGCACAACTAGTAGTAGAAAGAAATTAGGCAATGTTATCATGTACCTTATCAGGTGCTACTGAACAGACACAAGATTCAATCTAGAACTTACCAGGGAATGGTATGAAAGCATGTCTCATACTAACAGAAAACATACTACCAGTAGTAGATGTGGATCTTGCCGTTTGTTTTGGTATCATGAATTTAGATCTAGATCTAGTCTTTCTTCCAATATTATCTCTTCCACTGTAAATCATATTTGCTATTTCATTGTCTTCTTGTGTTGGACTTTCTCCAATAATAGTCGGCATTTCAATTTCAAAATCTTTAGGGATGTTTTGTAGATTAGGTTCAGACATGGTTACTCTCCCTGAAAGTGAAAAG